CAATTGAGCTACGAACCGAGTCATCTGTACCTCTACCATGAGTTTACTGTGACAGTTGTCGCTAGAGACAGCGTAAATTACTTCACAATGGCAAATTATACAATGCCCCTAGCCCTCACAACAAGAAACAACATTTTGTATACAAACATTTTACGCGGTCGCTGGACATAACTGTCCCTGTAATATCATGATAGAGGCACAGTTCTTATATTTCGCAGACCCTTGTAATGGTCTGTAGCTCAGTTGATAAGTAGTGGTAGCCACGGTGAGGCAACAGACGCTGGTTCAAGTCCAGTCAGATCGTAGTCACTTTTCTTTGTGTTTGTTCGATCTCAATAATAATAACAAATTAGTGTAGTATTTTCACCAAAAATATACAAATATTAATATAGTAGTAAAATATCATGATATTCAATAAAATAAATCTATGTATAGTATCTATGTTGTAACGTACTTACAGTTTAATATGCAATATCAGATTGTACTCATAATTAAAAAAAAATTTAAAAAAGACAAAACCAAACTATAAAAAGTTAATAATTATCTGTTTACTATTTTCAATCGCTCTTGATCCATAAAGGCGTCGGAGAACCACTAAGTAAACAAAATAGAGAGTTAAAACTAGCGAGCTTAAAACAGATAAGTAGACGACAAGACAACAATGTACCTACGTGTAGACTCTGCGTAAAACATATGAATTATGTCTCACAACTCACAACAAATAATGCAGTGACGAAATTATTCCTATTAGACACATCTCATTTAAACAATAACGTTGCCAAATACTTATTTATATACTCTTGTAAGAAAACTACACAACATATTATTACTTGTTTTTTGTTACCTACTTATTTGGTGCTAAGATTTTGTTGTGTCAAAGATATTAACTACTTACAAGTGTTGTGCAAGAGATATATTCATTTACACAGTTTTACGAGCCTATTGTATAAGAAGTCGAGTTATTCTATGTCTAACGCGAGGCAGAGGCGTCGACATTCGTATATACGTCGTAAAAATAAGTTTAGTAGTTTATGGGCATTTAGCGTCCCGACGATGTTATATATTGCGTCTCTGCTGATGACTCGAACTGAAACGGCATACTTCTGAAGCCTGCATTACATCGCCACTGCAACGCCAAATGAACTTCGTATGCCCGCGTCCGCGCTGCAATATCAACGAAACCGCAAACGATTTTCCTGAAAAACGTGTCATAGCCAAACGCTTAACTTCGACTGCGACTCGCCTTCACTAACAAATGTCACTCAGGATTTACGCCCGATCGTAAATCAAAATGGCGGCGGTCCCCTCACCCCCCTGGCCCACCTGCGCCTGCGCACAATAATTGAATATTTCACGCGCCTCTCTCAACACCTCCCTGTGACGGCCCTCCGCTACAATGTTACCTTTTATAGCCTCACGCGCATTGTGTTAGGTCCTAAACTGCTGATGAGTGATCATGTGAGATGCATTAAGTTTAATACCGAGTTTAAAATGCAATATTTCACGTCGCTTCGAACACGCCTTAAAGTTCGCGACGAATGTTTTATGATGATTTGTTTCCGTATTGAATGCGCTCGTGACTTTGATGCTATGTTTCTTTGAGGTGCGATACCGATACAAAAATTCATCTGCGTAAATCTTTATTTTCTAATCAATACATGCTTTAGTCGTAACGCTTGGCGCTTGTATAGACTAGTCAATAACAACTTACCAAAACAGCTAGAGAAATTCTAATCCAACTCTACACACATCACTTTTAAGGTTACGATACGATGACAAACCTGCCATCGAAGTGTATTGCTAACATTGCACTGTGACTCTACGTGAAAATGTAAACGGGTCGAGGGACTGTGCAAATTATCTGCATTAGACATGTTAATCTACTCATTTTAACTGTAATTTTATTCCGTATTTATCGGCGCATTCATTAATGGCCACCGCAAATCGGCTCCCCAAAAAGCTCGCCATTTTCCACTGCAATAGTTTTGCACTAGATGGCTGTAACTGTAGAATTTAACTTATAACAGATGCTTTCGATTATTGAACGTTGAACACTGTATGTTGTAATTATGAAGCTTTGAACCTTTATGTTTAAATCATAAACTGTAACTGTTTTTTTTTATAATACCAAGTGACGGTAGGAACAAGGCGTGCACCTGGTGGTAAGCGACACGCCTATCCATAACAGTTGTAGTGCCATTAAGAGCTTTAAGTGGCAAAGATCTTAGGGGCACTACCACTGAGCCCGTCACCCTGAGACATAAGTTGACAAGTCCCATATATCGAGTTCTTAGGTTTTCGCGATTATTATACATAGGAATGAAACTATTTTTCCGGATTTAAATCGCGTATATTTGTTTTTTCAAACAAACCGACGTTTCGGGCCCTTTACAGGTCCCATATACCTGTACTTTCACCAGCACACTTACCCTTCCAAACCGGAACGCAGTAATGTGAGCGCGGTAGAAATAGGTAACTTTAAACCAGTCCTTAGGACCCATTACGATCTTACAGTAATATTAATCTGCCAGATAAATTACACTACCTGGTCTCAAAGTACGAGCTCTATCTACCGACCAAGGTTCCTGTGCTCGCGCAGGTTATATTGTCCTTCTTGTATACCCTAAGGAAAACTAATGTAGAAAGATATGGGGCTGTGTGGTCTTAAAGTATGGAATTCCCTGTCCTAAGAGTACCATAGCAACGAAATTGAATGTGCGGTACTACCTCAAAAAACCAGTACAAAATTATTGCATATTTATTTATTTATTGCATGTCATACTGCACATTTGCAATGGTAGATAACTACTTAATACATAATTCGCATTAGTACAATATGACACCCCGTAAGGGCATGGTAATATCAGTGGAGAGGGTCACAACCACATAATTGCCTGGTGTCAAGCTAAAGAATTTCCTGTACTGCTATAGTACCAGAGCAAAGTGTCCCAAAAATACACTTTCCAGGACACCCAAACCAGAACCAGTTCAGTAAAGTTCATTTCCCAAATGGTGCTACCGGAAATCGAACCCGGGACCTCCTTATCCAGCTCTCAAAATATAAACCGAGGCCGCCAAGGTCGTCAAATAACAATATTATATTTAAATTAATTATTTAATTTTAAAATTGCACACTAATTTACGTTAATTAACATATAATAACAAATAAACAATAACAACACACACATTCATAGTCCCGTACTAGGAAAACCTTGTACTATTAGTCGCAGGTGTCATGGAGACACAATTAGACAATCCACAAGTTACACCCAAACTTACGAGAGAAATAAATGTAGGCCATACAAATATTTCTCTCGGCCCGGGAATAGAACCCGTGACCTTTGCGTGATAGTCCAGTATGGAACCGTTCGGCCACAGTAACAGTTATAACATTTAGTTTATAATAATAACATAAATAAATGACTTAACCAACCAAAAAGTATTACTACTTCCTTACAATATATTTTTATCTTTAATTGTGTGTGTCTGAGTGTGTGTGTATGTGTGCGCATGTGTGTGTGCGTGCGTGCGTGTGCGTGTATGTCTTAGAGTGGCGATCTAGCAGTGCCTCAACTTCCTCATATGTTCATATGCGCCTGTACTTTCATTATACGGCTTGCTATAAATTTTCAATTCCTTATTTAAGACGTTGTAAAAGTTTACCGCAAGTTTATCATATTGCCTGTCTGCGAATACAGTATTGGTTGGTTGTTTCCACAATTGGTTCCAATGGTAAACGAACTCAACAATAAACGTTATCAGCTAATCGTCCTCATCGCATTCAATTGTAGTATATATGAGCAATAATTATAAACTTTATTATCTACACAATAAAGCACTGATGAACGTATGTGACTAAATATTTAAAAACCGATTAGAGGAGGTTGTAAAACTCGTTTCACTGGACCCAGATATTTCTGGGAAAATCGCTTTCGCTGAAAATGTACGTTAGTTATAAGAAGGGTAGTATTTGTTTACGTGAGAAAAAAATTTACAAAATATCTAAAGAGACTATGAACACATATTATAGTAACCAGGTGTTTGTAACAAAATGTTAATTGTTTTAGGAAAGAGCTTCTCTTTAACGATCACGGTGGAGACGACTCCTCCTCAAGTGGCCACCTACCAGAAGGCCATCAAGGTCACGGTGGACGGACCAAGGGAGCCGCGATCCAAGACAAGTAAGTATTTTAGTAGTACAAACTTCAGATGTAGACTTATATATATATTATATATATAAGTCTACGTATATTAATTCTTTATTGACAGGTATATACCAAAAAACAATAAAAACAAAATACAATAATAAAATAAAATAAATGAAATCTAGTATTTTAAAAAAGGATTTGTTCATGTGCTTACAGAGAGTACAGAGAATCCTGTTGTCAGACGCACGGAGACGGCTCCAAAAGCTGGCGACGCAAGACCTTATTATTGTGAATAAGTCGTGAGCCCTGGTGGCACACGCCTTTTCATAACAGTTACACGTCACTTTGAGACATAAATTGACAAGTCCCTTGTGCCCGCAATTTCACCAGCAACCTTACCCTTCCAAACCGGAATACAATAATGCTCACGTTACCGCTTGGCGGCAGAAATAGCAGTGGCAGTACTTCCCTGGACGAACTCTTTCATAAGGAGCTCTACTGTCACTAAGACAGTGTGGATTTCTGTATTCCGTGCTTTAGCTTTGTTCAAGGACAACAATGATATCGTCATAATATTGGGCCTATTGAATATCATAGTGGACCGGAGAAATTCGAAGTGTGTCATCAACTAAAAGCATTAAATTACTCTACTGCGTCAAAACAATACCATGGTAGAATAAGACATGTATGGCAACTCTTTACAAATGTAGCAGCGCGGTTTAAAGGTGTGCGAGCTCGCCGCGTGTCGTGTACGTACGCACACATTTGCGTAATTTCGCGACGCACTCGCGTTGCAAATAGCACTGGTTATCCACGCCCCTTTCATTGTTATGCGGGTACCAGCCAGCCCCCCAGACTTAACACGTTTTCCGAGGGTTGTGAACCTTCTTCGACGTGCAGTCTTCTCTTAAAAGCTCAAATAAAATTCCGAGAGACAGAGATGCGAGCCCGTATTCCAACCCACGCCTCCAACCATCAGGCTATCACTTCTAAATACTATTATTTAATGTTATTACTTAAGGATTACTTGCGTCCTCAATTTTTTTTTTACCTATATATTATAAATAAAATATTTTACAAATAATTAACCAAAAAATTAACAAGTATCCATGAGTAGATAGAAATTAAATTGCAGGACGATTTATTGGAGCATGTCTGCGCCGGGCGCAATTTGTACGGCAACCGCACCGTACGTAAAGAATTAAAATGCTTTTGATCTATTATAATCGCAAAAAAATGTCGACAGTATAATGTTTTTGCATTATTTACTGTATTAATGCATTATCGAGTGTGTAAGTATACAGGTTATCCCACGGCCATGACACACGGAGGAAAGCACTTTAGATATTGTATGATGAGGTCAGCAAAAGGTTTTACATTTCTCTAAAAGAGATCTTTTCCAGGCAGCCCAATGCAGTGAGCACATAGGTCATAAGCAAAAAAAACGGAAAAATGTAATAAACTTAACAGATTCGAGTAAAAAATTCCCGATGCTCACATTTTGAGTAGCAAAAGAGCTCCATGTGAAAGAGTTCGTCGTTCGGTTTTGAAGGTTTAGGTGCACGACTTATTCGTCCCGCCACTTAAAAATCAATAAAAGAAATCGAATTCATGAAACACAAGACTCCTTTGTGTTTTTAGTTTGTATCCTACTAATTACAATAATTAGCAAAAACAACAACAATAATAATAATACAGAAGGCTGTCCTACTCGATATGGCACGAATTGGTCGTCGCTTCTTGAACCAGAGTCGCTGACCCCGGCCGGCCACTGCCATTTAAAATTATTTAAAATTCAAAATTGGTCCAGAGAGGCGTGAGTGTAAAATAGATATCCAAAACAAAAGCATGATATAAAAGACAAACAAATAAAAAAGAAGAACACAATTATAAACAGGGGAACATTTATTCATTCTTCTCGCAAAATATGTTCCATTCATGTACGCGTACCACATTCAGGCTAATTATTCACCTTATCTTTGTGTCTATTAGAACCTTTATTACAAATAATTTCATCAGCAACTTTAAATATTATAGGTAAGGGATACCAGCTCAAAAAAACTCAGAATCTTACACGCGTAAAACCGTGAGATTCGACATAACATAATACAAATTTCGAGGCAGCATCAGTCGCTATCGCTCTTCGATAATTTCGTTCCCACGGCACGGATGTTTATCGGTGAAGGACGCGCTTGCACATGCTATGCTATAATTGATAAGACATTCGTTAACTATTTTATTGTAATGTTCTATTTTATTTTAAAAAAGAGGAAGTTACCATATCTTTGTGACGATGCTGACCTCCTTCATCGTCATCCCACCTTTTCATCGCCCTGTTTACTGGTCACATTGGCGCCCGAACTGAAGAGAAAATACAAAGTGGATAACAAGCTATTTTCTATTCATGGGTAATCCCACCTAATCTCCTAAAACTGATCCCCTGAGGGATCCGTTTTATTTTATAATATTTTCTATTCCCATCGGAACCCCAATGCAGGGGATCAAGAATAAATTAATATTTTATTCCCACCTGATACCCTGGCACTTACAAATTTATTTGATTTGAAATGCAGTCCATGTACATATGTATCTAACCCGCTAATTGCTATTCAATATAATTAATCGTAGTAAGGGTATCAACATATATGAAAATTGATATAAAAATATATTAAATTCCAATTATCCGTCCATCATGTGTTTCGGAAGGGCTAATTAATGGTAAAATTGACAAAACACTGTCTTCCGGCCGCGCCATGTTGGCCGGTCACGCGAAACCAAAGGCTGCGTCAAAAGGAGCCTACATTGTCCGCATGCACCCGTAAATATCCATAAAGGAGCAACTAAAATACGCAAAATGGCTATACCAATGGAACCCAATTGTCTTCTGTAGCTAATATGGTAACAGCTCATCTTTTGCCACCACATTTACTACGAATGACAAACGTAACAATGAACGTTATTTTATTATTATCAAATTCAAAAGTGTACGTGTTTGAAAGCGAAACTTCCTACCTTGCCCTATGTTCCCTGAAAAGGAGCTCCAACTATCAAAATTGGCGTCGAAAAAAACACGTTACGCCATATGGAGTGTCTGCCGGTGGCAAACAATAGTGAAATTATATCTGTAATAAGTTGCGCTCACGCACGCAACGCAACTGCTTCGGTACGATCTTTGTGTGAATACAAAAACTGTACTACTCAATTGGATATCGAAGGACAAGATTTTGTACAGTGAAAGTTATACAAATCTCGTTGATTTTGTACTTATGTAGTTTACGACATGTTTGATTTATTTTCTCTCATAATATTAAGTGACGGGACGAACAAGCCGTGAGCCTGATGGTAAGCTACACACCTGTCCATAACAGTTGCAGTGCCACTCAGAGCTTTACGTTGCAAAGATCTGAGGGGCTCTGCCACTGCGCCCGTCACCCTGACACATAAGTTCATAAGTCCCATGTACCTGTAATCTCACCAGCACCCTTACCCTTCAAAACCGGAACACAGTATTGCTGACATTACTGCTTGGCGGCAGAAATAGGTAAGGCGGCAGTACTACACTAGTACCTGGATAAACTCTTTCACAAATTCTTTACATACCTTACATATTAGATGTATATTAGATAGATTTAGATTTATGTACATTAAAGAGACTTTATTAAAATAAGGTGGTGGACGTATTACACCGTCCTACTACTCTGGAGCTGATGATACTTTTACTAGAGCAAGTATAATCGATCCATATACTTATAATTCATAACTCAACTTTTCACGGAACAATTGTGGCTTGTAGTCACAATCCATTTCTATTTATACCAAATGTAAAACTTCGTAGAGAGAGACATGGATATCCAAAACCGACAGGCCTAGAATTGAATAAACCATTGAAATACTACTAACGTCGCATCGTATGGTAAGAATACTATCGACAGTCCGCTGCACGATGTCTCTGGATTTGGGGAACTCAATATTGAGAATACACAGCCTCTATCTTCAACCTGCATGCACCTTGTGATACGCTACCGTCACGTTACACGTCCGATGGTGACAGGGGGTATGGTGGATATTTTTCTCCAGCCAGGATTCTTTCTTTTTCTTCTATATTAAGTGACAGAACGAACAAGTTATGCGGCGAGTAGTAAGCGATACTCCTTTCCTGTGTCGCAGGTACCGTGGACACACACATAGGCATTCACAAATTACACACCAATCTCACGAGAGAAATAAATGTAGACCATATTTTCTCCCGACCTGGGAATTGAAACCGGGACCACTGCGTGACAGATCAGCAGTCACGCAGCAGTTGCAGTGCCACACAGAACTTTAAATCGCAAAGATCTGAGAGGCCACTGCCACTGCACCCGTTACCCTGACACATTGCCAAGTCCCATGTGCTTGCAATTTTACCAGCATCCTTTACCATTTAAAGCCGGAATACAATATTGCTCACACTATAGCCTGGCGGCAAAAAAGGTGGCAGAACTTCTCTGGACGAACACTTTCACAAGAAGTTATACTGCTGCTAGATCTCAAACGATGATCAGATCAGATCTCCGATAAAATGGATTCACGTTCCTCAGCAGTGAGGAAATTAATGGGAAGAAAAAAAGAGAATTGACAATGATACTGCGAAACCGAGTCATTATAATACCTTATCCGAAAACTTTTACGATGTCCAAACTGGTATAGCAATATGCATTTAATACCATAGGGTAAGGTTTATAAATTAAAGCCAAACAACAAAAAACAAACAAACGATCGTAATATCTAAACAACCCTCATTTGCAGTTAACATCAGACAAATCAGTGCAACAGCGAAAATCCCGCTTTATTAAATGTACAAAACGATATCCCTCAACAAAGAGTGGACACAAAGCGAAGTACTTATGGCATTAGCCCTCGAACTCCGCCGGACAAGAAGGGAAGATCTCGCGTGCAAGGGACTTAAAAGTTGGACTTAATAGACTTAATTTGTAGGTACGGCATAAGCCGCTTCGCTATGACCCTCCCTAAACTGCGATGCCTGTTTTTACTATCGATAGAATGTTCAAAATATCGACAACTCCGGTAAACTTGTTAAAGTTCTCCTTGTTGCTTATGTTAACTCATTGAATATTAATGCAATTAAAATGTTGTCAGGAAATACATAATTTATCTCAATAGGGGAAATAATTATTTGTCTTTTTATGTTACAAATTACTTTGTTAAAAAGTGCCTAAAACTTTCCTTTCATATGCAATTGCAACACACACGAAATGGCAGTCAGCAGTTGCAAAAGTTAGGTGCGACGAGTACTTTGACACTTTTAAAACGTTCTCAAATAGCGTATCACACAGGACTTAAAAATACAAATTTATTAAAAATTTTATCGATCATAACCACCGTACGTCCCTAATTTTTACGTATAACAACAATTAACTCCCAGCGTTTGTTTGTGTCGATTTCACAACATAATTGCGGCATCGATATATTTTGTTCATTGTGTAAACTCATAAACTAATTATGCGCATAGTTTTTTTTTTTCAATTCCGAAGAACCCAAATTACGGCGGCGCCTTTTTAATGCAGCGGCCGCCCGTACTGGACTGTATGTTTGAAAAAAGTCCACCTTTTCTGGCTAATAAGGTGATTGACACGTTGCCAAAAAAATTGACGACCCAGAGCAGGAAATTGTTATTTTAAAATTAAGCTTGCCTTTGCTAACTTCACTTGATACAAAAAATACATTTTTATGCAGTACTTCTTACCTTCTTGAATGAAATTTTATAGCATTAGAGCTCCTTGTGAATGAATGTAGAAGAAGCACTGCCATCTTACCTATTTCTGCTGCCAAACAGTAATGCAAGCTTTATTGCGTTCCGGTTTTGAAGGGTAAGACTGCTGGTGAAATTACAGGTACATGAGACTTGTCACCTTATGTTCCAGAGTGTCAGACCCAGTGCCCCTTAGATCTTCGCGAATTAAACCTCTGAGTAGCACTGCAACTTCTATGGGCAGGCGTATCATTACCACCAGGCGCACGACTTGCTTGCTTTGTCACTTGCCACTTGCAATGCCACTCAGAGCTTTAAATCAGAAAAGATGCCACCGTGCCCGTCACCCCGAGTCATAAGCTAACAAGTCCCATGTGCCTGTAATTTCACCAGCACCCTTACCCTTTAAAACCATTATTGCTTGGCGGCAGAAATAGGCAAGGTGGCAGTACTTCCCTGGACGAACTGGGAACAGGGACGAACAGGGAGCTCTACTGCTACTAAACATCGAGGTTGAGAAACCGATATATGCCTCATCTAATTATAAAACTGTCTGATTTAAAAGGGGCAATGTCGCAACGGTTGTCGATATTCGATCAAAGATGCTCACAATCGCTATTTGACAAGAAATCTCCTGGGAAATGTGAAATTTCAATCTAAAATCAAAGACGTATGTCAGTTTTAGGTAAACATTGATCCGTGTTGTGTCCGGTAACAAATATTCTGTTTAGACCGCACGGTTTCTTACAATTTGTGCCTTATATCCCACGTAGAAACCAACACTGAAACTTCAATGGTCACTTCCTGAAAATTTACCTTTGTAGTGACAGTATCGGTTTGAATGTGGAATATGTTGTGGTATTCGAAAATATTTCACTAATTATATACTTCATACTTTTTTAGTTCGTACTTTGTGGCCGAGTTATAAATTCTTTTGAAGTGTATTTTTGTTATTAATTATGTAATAATGTTATTAACTTATGCTTCCTTTTCCTTTGTTTTACTGCATTACATGTGAAATAAAATCATTTTCAATTAGAATCTCATCAAAAACAGATCCCAATTCGAAATTAATCGAATTGGAATGTTTTAATTAAATTCAGCATTTTATGTTTTATTTTATTGAATATCATTATTTGACGACCTCCACAAGCCACACAGCTTGCGGTTTTCATGATGTCGCCATCTCTGAGGTCCCAGGTTCGAACCCCAGTCGGGTCAACATAGAAACTAATTTTACTATATTATCTCGGGTCTGGATGTTTGTGGTATCATTGTTTCCGATTTCCATACCACAAATATTATAGTTACTATATTTTTACTACCATGCTATGCATATTACATTTTTTTGTAAAAATTCTCCACTAGTTTGTTATTGTTTATACAAATTTCGAACAAACACAAAGAACCCTGTCGTCGCCACGGTGAGGCAAAAAAAACGCTGTTTCTGTTCCAGTCAGATTGAAGAATATTTTTGTATCAATAATAAAATTTTTTGAAATAAACTAAAAACCGTCTTTGGTTATTCAAACCATTATAGTCAGACTACCCATTCGCAGGCACGAACGCCTCAACTCAACACATACGAAGCATCGGTTTCCAGCGCTCCTTCCTGGACACCACTTCCCTGGCGCTGAGAGACTCCATGGAGTACAAGAACTCGTCTTCAAGAAGTCTGCGCTCGCTGTCACATGAGGAACGAGAGTACAAGACTAACGCCAATTTACCCGCTGCAGGTATGTAACTGTTTTGAAAACTTATAGCTTATATATATGTATATACTTTATAGCTTAATTGCAAATTTTTTAACAATTCAAAAAAATTGTAATAAAAATGAAAGTAAATTAATTAGCTACTCCGTGAACCCAGTATCGAACCGATAGTAAACCCGAATCCGGCCGAATCTTGCCGAACGTCGAACAATCAAGAACTCCTGAGTGAACGCGTTATTTATTTATCATCAGCCCATTTGTACGTCCCACTGCTGGCCAATGCGAATAGGGGACTTCAGATATAAAATTTTATAACAGTAGAGCTCGTTGTGAAAGAGTTCGTCCAAAGAAGTACTTTGTACACTAATGTGAGCATTACTGCGTTCCGGTTTTCAAGTGTAAGGTGCTGGTGAAATTACAGGCACAAAGGAATTGTCAAGTTATATCTCAGGATGACGGGCGCAGTAGCACTGGCCTTAAGGTCTTTGCGATTTAAAGCTCTGAATGGCCCTGCAACTATTATGGGTAGACGTGTCGCTTACCACCAGGCGAACGACATGTTTGTCCCGTCATTTGCTATTATAAAAAAATCTCATAATTTTTTTTTTGGACTGTGACTATGGGACATGCAAAAAACCCAAAAAGGTGGTTTATTTAGATCCGAACAAAAAGTATCATTTCCAATCTGTAGCAATCGTGAACCCGAGAATTCGTTATCTACCCTTGTTTTATCGTCGACATATTGTTGTAAAACGGTACATCCATCTTTATGCTTAACTAGCTAAAGCGCGCGACTTGGTTTTTAGAACAGGTACTTTTAGTTGCCTACTGTACTATACTAATAGTTTTATTGGGTCGGTACAAACTTTCATCCCCTATTTCACCCCCTTTAAGATTTGTTTTTGTAACAAAAGTAGTCTACGTCTTTCTCCTAAATCGCATGTATCTCTATACCATTCATCGAAATTGATTCAGCGATTTGGGCGTCAAAACGTAACAGAGTTACTTTCGAATTTATAATATTAGTTTGGATTAGTGTGCTACTACACTTTAATCAAAATCATTACCTACATGCATAAAATCGTCTTAACCAATTTATATCCATAAATTATTACGCAAATCATGCTAACAACCGGCAGAGAGCAAGAAGCGGGTAACTAATTTTCTTAGTAATTACACTAAATAACTGTAAAGTGTCCCGACATAGGCGCAGGCGCACTGTTAAAAGTATTAATATCTGCGCTCATTACCGGCACAATCACGACCCTCTAACTGACTGCCGCCTTATTTGCCGACGAGCTGCAGTCCGCGTTCTTGAGAATCAACTTAGAAGTGCCATCAAGAAATTTTACCCATCGTATAATAAAGCCACATGTTATCAGATGTCAAAAATGCTTTTATTACATACACATTTACAGTCATAAAAATAATACGAATTTCATTAAACAAATTCTTATCGTACCTATTTCTGCAACCAGGCAGTAATGTGAGCTAGTTTTGAACTACTACGTGCGATTCGTAGCAGGGGGTCTACTCTAGATCTCCGTCCGACATGCGTCCGAAACAATTACTGTCAAATAAGTAATATTCGACAAAATTAAAAGACAAGTATCCAGTATGAAGCTTCATTCGCATCACGCGTCTTTTCATTTGGTCAAGTATTGCTTATTTGGCAGTAATTGTTTCGGACGGAGATCGAGTGTAGACCCCCAGTTCCGAATCCGAAATGTCACAGGGATCATTTTATCTCTATGTGTACGAGCGATATTCGTATTTTCCCGGATTCGAATTGGACTTAGTCCACAAGCGACATCCGAAGGGGGTCCGAGTATTTTAGGTTTTTATAGTCTCGGATTCCGAATGAACCCGAATCGGATGCAGTGCTGGTGAAATTACAGGCACATGGGGCTTGTCGACACGTGCTTCAGGGTGACGGGAGCAGTGGTAGAGCCCCTCAGATCTCTGCGATGTCAATAAAGTTCACGACTTATTCGTCCCGTAATAATTCTCGTATTGAAAAGTCAACACTACATCAGCTCGAATTTTCCCTAATACGGTTCATTTTGCTTGGATCGAGCGGCAGGGCTTTATTTCAGAATTTATTTTCTTACAGAAGAAATTAAACCCATTTGAAAAATGTATATCGTATATTATACGTGTTCTAAAAAAGTTCAGTTGATGTAAAAAAAAATAGTGTATGTCAAGTACCTATTGAATACAGCGGTTTTCTCGTAAAATTTCGAGGAATCGGTTTTCGCACCATATAGTAATCAGTTTATATAATCAATTTTACTACATATTTTTTCCAAAGTCATTGATTCAACACTTTCGCTGTTATGTGGAATCAACCAAAGCCATTTGAGCTCTTAAGCATAAAAAGTTATCAGCTAATTTCGTTAGTAGAATCTTTATACATATATAGTCTGTCTGTTTTGAACACTGAGCAAAATAACATTTGTAAGGTTGCCAGTTTTTATAAAATTTTAAATAGTTCTGTAGTTGTTGTCGATAGTTGTATCGATATATTGTGAACGAAGATATAATTTTGCCAAAAATGACTGAATTCCGAATGTTACGACATTCTAATGATTACTAATTGCGTCATAGCCTTCTTTATTCTTATTTTGACTGTTGGTCTACTAATAACGAGATAAATTTTTATCATATACATTTTAACAAGACTAGCCTGATATTATTTATATTGAATTAAAAGTTCGGCTGTTTATTCCATGAGCATAAGCGTGACCAATATTCAGTCGATAGTCGATAGAATATTTATCGACTGCAATCACTAGCTTGACACTTTTGCGCACTTAATTTTACTCCGTTTTCGAAAAATATACTTCTCTCCTGAAAAAATGTCATTTTGCTGTAACCTGTAACAAGGTTCCCAGTTGCGAAATGTTTGATGTTCTGAAAAAACCTCAAGAGAATCCTTGACTATACAAAAAACATAGTATAGTAATGTCGCACAAACTGCGAACCGCACACGTGCGCCTACCACACGCTACTAGGGTGGTAAGTATTAAAAGTACAGTCTGTATTTTATCGCTGAGCACTTGTAACTGTGTCTCGTATGGAGCGTAACTAAGTGTTCTTTTCAATATTATGCCACACACACAGTGCAGAAAATAAATCATTTCATATTATTCAGGAGGTAAAGCCATACTCTGGTGTTTGTTACACCTTTATAGATAAATAAATATTATTTCTTCTTATTATTTTATTAACAACAATGACACAAACAGAAATGAAAAGACTTCGACTCGTTCATCATATATGTCAGTTATTATTAAACCATATTATTTAACTATAATTAGGTATACCTGATCTAAACCGGCGTGACCATTTTTTTTTATGGTACCTTTTACTAACGTATACATTGATAATAACTACACTCATGCATGTATGTATACACGTCAAAAGTGTCCAGGGATCAAGCACGTTTTTGCCAATAACTGAAAATCAAGTTTTTTTGGTCAAATTCCTAGTACAAAAATAAATAAATAAATCATTTAATAAATGTATATAGATATTTTTATTTAATTTTAATAGGGTTATAATTATTAATACAAAGATCGAACACTCAGAAAAAATTCTCCGAAAAACCGACGTCTTCTAACTTACCGTGCCAGACTCTAATATATACCAACTAAGCCACGGAACGAACCAGCGGACCTCGCGAATTTTTCTATGTGCTTGCGTCGTATCTTTGTATTTGGTTTTTTTAACGACTTTTTAGTCGGGTTAATAGGGTTTTTTTTAATTACCTTGATCCCTGAGTGTATTTCTGAACGTTTAATTTGAAAAAAGAATGACTTGAATCGTCTTTTGATTTCAAATAAACGTTCAGGTATATGTGGCCTGTGGTTCGTATGAACAATGTTATCATAATTTAACCATATTTTAGAGTCCCTGTAATAAATATATCCATGACCATATACATCAACTTGTTGTATCTCTCATTTAGGATATTGCAAGTCATCATTACCGTCGACTGTAGTAGTGACTAACATGTCGGCGGTAAGTCTAATACTACTAAGTACGGTAGCATTCTACTACTCGGTCGTATCTATCTGGCCTTACTAATAAGGTTCATTTTTAAGTGTTTTTGCCTTCCTAAATATGATGTCAATTTATTATTCGTTTCTAGAAGCCTTCTGGACAAATCATATTAGACCAGAAGACATAAGTACACATATACTACCACGTCAGTCTTCGGGATCTTGCTTAAAGTTCTACATTCCTACATAAAAAATACTTTAATAAGATTCAATTTGCTATTTTGTTCTAGAAATCTTCTGGACAGATCACATTTAACATGTACACACGCCAGCACATCAAGCTACACATTGACGTATTTTGTTCCGTTGCATTGGAGGCGATTTTCGAACAAAAATGTGTAGTCTGATGTGCCGTTGTCCGTACATACACATAATATTAGGTAATCAAAAAATACGGTCCTCTACTTACTATGTTCCTATACGACTCTCTCACGTCCTCTCCTACGGGAAGTAAGCACGGAATACGGTCGTCTACTTACTATGTTACTAAATGTAAGTAGACGACCCTCTCACTTCCTATACTCGCTTGGACGAAGAAATACACTCAGTCTGTTTAAACATACTTGTGTACACTTGTTACTTTTAACCTCTCCTTTTTAAGGACATACTTGATCTGGTTGAGATATAAACGCACACACATGTGAGATATGTACATCGAGGTCGCCCACATATAAAAAAATGACCTGCCATGTCATTTATTGCGCTGTAGTACAAGTATCTAACTGTTCTCATTTAATACACACGTATTGTTTATACACATACTATATTAACATAATTTAAAGTCATTTCAAACTGTTCCCAGAAAATATATCATTTCTTGTAATCCGATAATATAACGTCGTTTATTCACGCCTAACGAACTATTGAACTGGTTTTTCAATCAAAACAAAAACTGTCTTTGCACATACATAACAATCGCGGACACTGTTCCTTGAGTTTTACAAAGGAGCTATGAGCTTG